ATGATACTTTCGCCTGATGCAAAATTCTGGTTAATGTCCCTTCAGCTGGGGGAGGTGAGCGAGTCACACAGACCAATGTGTAAAAGTGAATTATCAGTGTCGCTGGACAGCAAAGTGCTCTGGGACACTGCCTCGCGCTATATAAATGCAAATTGTTGTTGTTGTTGTTTGGATCAGCAAGTGAGAAGGAGAGCGGGTCAGGAGGTCTCACCCAGAGATAAAACGTGTGAGCGGAGAAGTATCGTTTAGAGAAAGAGTTTGTCATCCTTTTCTCTTTTTTCCACATTCTGTGTGGAGCACTTAACGCATCAACAGGTTGACAAAGTGGAGTCCTGTAGCGGAGTGGTTAGCGAGCTCGCCTCACAGGCGAGAGGACCCGGGTTCGATTTCCGGGCAGGGTCAAACCTTAGGCAGGTTTCCTTACTCCACACGCCTCTATTTCCTTGGCAGTAAGTTGGTTGTTACTCGATTAGCAGATCGCTTTCCGGGGATTATAATCCCGCTTTTAAATTTTTAAAAAAACTCCACAGGTTGACAGAGAGGCGAGCAATCTGCCGCTGTACTCTGCACAATTCCTGGGGAAACAAACTGGAGTTTGGGGAGTTTGATGGAGGAGTGGGAAAATTCTGACCCACTCATGTACACTCTTGACGAATAAAAATAATCAGGACCCAATCCTCGAGAGACCAAACAGCTGAAACACGTAGTTAGCTCGTGCTGATCACTCGGGGATACTGCCCCACGTGAAGAGACTATATAAATGCAGGCTGTTCTGTTGAAGCGCTTTGAGATGTCTCAAAGACATGATGAGGCGCTCTATCAAATGCAAGCCTTATTATTATATAAATGCAGGCTGTCAGTGTACGTAAGGCCCGAGAGCTGCAGGCCTTTACAAAGCTATCTTATTGATTTACCAAAGTGCTTTGAAGATGACGGGATGGGTTCAGCTGCCAAATGAAAAATGGCTTCACCATAACCATCTGCAGGTCATTACGCACTTGGCCCTGAATCCCTGTCCTGCAGGCCTCTGTGAGCAAGTAATGCTCTGTGTGTGGCTGAAGATTTAACCTAATGGGTCGGACACATTGGCCCACAAATGGTCAGTAATCCTGGTATTAATTACACTGTCAGGAGGACAACTCAAAATGCTTCCTGGAAATCCTTGACAGCGTTTATTGTAAAGTGTCGTGACTTTAATATTTTGTGGGCGGGCGCAGCAAGAGTCCTCTCATCTTGCTCCCACCCTTACTTCCTTCAAGGCCCGTCTCAAAACCTACCCCTTTAACTGCACTTTCCGTCATCTTTCCCTTCTCCACCCACCTTCAGCTCCCACCCGCAGCTCGGGTGCCAAGGCAGGACTGTTCAGTGCCTTGGGATGTCCTCCCGACGTGAAAGCCGCTGTCTAAATGTAAATTTGTCCAATTTTAACCTTGGGTGCATTATTTGTTGCTTTAACCGTTTTAAGATCAGTACTATAACAGCGTGGCTTTATCAGGTTTCCTTGAATCAATGCAGTCTCGCTAATCGCACGCTTTGCTTTACAAAGTAAATGTTCTGAGTTTGTGCCAAAGGCCTGGCTTGGAAGGGGTCTGACGTTTACAGTATTATGGACTCAGGATGAACTGGGAGAAATGTCTTTACATGATTTTCTTGATCAAAAACAGACAGTTGTTTTGACGTTGCAGCCAACTGAAACTGTCTGTCACTGACACGGGCACAGACGTGCATCAGAATGTAAATGTGAATCCTTTTCATGCCTGAAATCAGAGCAGTATTTGACTGCGTCGTCCCATTAGTGGCTTTTCAAGCAGTCAATACAGCCCATCCCCAGTGCTGCTCAGGACGAGTGTCAGTGCGAGTTGTATACTTCATGCTGCTGTGTTGTGTTTGTATGAAAGGCCCTCGTAAATTTACTCTTAGGAAACATGGACAGGATTGAAGATGACTCGGGTTTACAACTTGTTCAGTTGCTGTCTGTCCTCCAGTTTTTAAATAATAAAATAATCCTTGCATTTGATATAGCGCCTCATCACGTCTTGAGACGTCTCAAAGGTCTTGATCCTAACGAACCCATTCCCGGTTACTACTGCCCTATCTATCAGCTGCTAATTAGTGTGTGTTGCTCACTCGCTGGTGCTGACTGTACAGAGGCTAATTGGGTTTGGTAACTGTTTGTGAGGGTTTGGCCATTTGCCAGGAATCTGCCTGTCAGGACGGGACAATAATGTTAGCCAATCCCCTTTCCTGCACCTGCAGGTATTGTTATGCTTTAACATCATTCTGGCTGGTGTGTGATGGCCAGAGGTGCCGTCACCCAGATAGTGAGTGAGTGAAGCATCGGTTAGCAAAGCTCTGAGCTTCTGAGAGGCACTTGTTCAGCGATGTTTATTGTGTTTAATAGCTGAAGGAAAATTGGGTTTGGCAGGCAGCGGAGGGCTGTGAAGTGCTGAATGGGGCTATTCATTCCACCTGCTGGCGCCATTCAAACCACGTCCCACCTGCTTGCCGTTTCCTACCCAGGAGAAGCATTGAACAGCCCCCTGAATAATAATAATCCTTACATTTGATATAGTGCCTTATCACATCGTCGATACGTCTCCAAGTGCTTCACAGGATGTACTGTAAAATGAAGCGACTGTGTATTTTGAGGGGAGATGCTCTCAGGGTGATGCCTATTTTGCTTCGGAAGCCACATCTCTGAACAAGTCAGTCGGCTGTTGTGGGAGAGCAAGGAGGGAAGGCTACCCTGACCCGTGTCCTGGTTTGTCCCCCACGCACAATCCACTTGACTGGGTTCTGAGTTTTACCAGGGACACAGACAACGGTTGCTGTGTTCTCATTTACATGAGGTTTGATGATTCATATTCAAACACGGTGTTTTGCTGGTACACTAAACACAGCGGAGGAGAAATGCTCTCTGTGTCGCAACCAGTTCATTCACAAAGATTTGGTGCTCCATCACATTTTAGACTTTGTATTTTGTGCTCCTCAATATTCAGGATTTCTTGATATTTCATTTGGAAGAGGATCTGTGGTGGCAGCAGTGGGTCAGTTTCCAGATTAGTCTTTTCATCCACAAAATATACAGTCAACCACTTTTGTAGTATAATCCTGTGAAAGGCGCTATACAAATGTAATGTTGTTGTTGTTAAGCGCTTTTAGACGTCTCGAAGACATGATAAGGCGCTATATTCAAATGTAAGGCTTATTATTATTTCACAGGTTGACACCTCAGAATGGGGTTTACACTGTAAAGTGCAGTGACTGTTCGTGACACAGCAACCAATTTGTGCACAGCAACTTCCCACAAACAGCCACAAAATGAATGATCAATTTTATCTGGGAGATTGTCAGCCAGGACCCCAGGAGAGAGAGAAACTCCCTTCTCTATTTGAATTGTGCCTTTGTCTGCTTGGACAGGCACTGGCAGGACTACGGTTGAACATTTCATTCAAAGGATAGCACCCCCAGCACTGCACTGGAGTGGCGGCCTGGACTGTGAGCTCAAAGTCCCAACGTTTTCAAGTTGTTTTTTTAACAGTCTTGTGATCCGGCCCATGATGGTGAAACCTGAGTGGAATCCGCCATTCCTTGTGTTGATTTTAGCACTCCCATCAAACCAGTCCAGAAATTAACGTTTTCTTAAATGGAAATGGGCCTTTTATACTCTAACCTACTCCCCGTTAATTTAGGGGAGAGGCTGTAAAAATCTTCTCCTAATCCCAGGGAGAATCTTGAAAGCTTCCATCTCTGGTGGTTCTGTTTTTTGCAGAAACGTTGTGATAGTGCTCGGTTTAGAGAGAGAGAGAGAAGAGACTGAATGTTTTACAGAAAAAAGAAAGCTCATCAGTTCTATTTCCGTGTGTGTAGCTGCCGATTCAGGAAGCTTGTCGTATTACAGAGAACATGCCCTGTTTGCAGGTGTAATCTGTCCAGACCTACTGTGCTGTTGGAGTTGTGGGAGAGGATACTGCTATAGTAGGTTGTGGAAGGTGGGTTTGAAATGGAGATGATGTGGGTTGGGGAGTAAGCAGGTTGCAGAGGTAAGGAGGTGCCAGCTCGGCACAGCCCATCATAGGATGATGGTTAGACAGGTGAAAGTTAGTGCAAAATGAGCAATTTCCATGTGAGTGTCTTCTGTCAGTCATTACCGGCTGATGCAGCACAGAACTTTATGTTCTCAGCAGCCCAGGCCAGATGGTTTGGCAGCAGAATGAAAGGAACCCAATCTGGAATCGATCAGTGGGAATGTTTCGCCAAGTGCCTGCAGTTAGAAAGGGCCTATTAACAATCTACTTTGTGAAAAGGTATGAAGAACCCTTCGGGCATTGGTAATAATGGGCGATTCTTTGTCATCCACAGCCAATGTTCAGGAACTAGTGTTTTTTTTTAAGACAACTTCTTTTTACACTGGTAACTGTGACAATCTGTTGAATATCTGTTAAATAGGAAGCTCGTGAACACATCGGTGTGTCCGTTTCAAGCACATTGTGAGACTGATTTAAAATCTAAGCCTTGTCAACTTCTGGTGTGGTTCAATGTTGCAGCTTGGCTATGACAGTGATGAACCTTGCATTTGATATAGCGCCTGAAACACGTCATCGAGACCACTCAAAGCGCTTCACAGGACATACTGCAAAGTGGAGTGACTGTGTGTTTTGTAGGCTGGCTGCCCGTCTGCCCACCCGGGTCCAGATCACACTGGAACCTGAAATGTCAATCGTGATTACATTTTGCTCCAGAGAAAGGCCAAGTGTCCCTCTGGCCAGAGCAGTTGTGAGCCGAGGGTATCCACACAGAGGGCTCAGTGTTCCTGAAGAGAGGATCTCAAGGTTCTCAGTAACTCCTCGCAGACTTCAGGTTTCACTTCAGATTTCGAGAGAGCAGAAACTGAGCCAATTGGCGGGACTGGCTCATTTACCATGGTGCGGAGGGGAAATGCAAGTTGTTGTTGTTGTCTGGGTGTCTTTTGTAATGGTCTTTAATTTTGTTTCCAACAGGTGCCCCTGGTTAACAAAGGAAATCTCTCCTGCAATTCCACTTTACAATGGCCTCATGTTCCTATTCGTGTTGGCGAACTTCAGCATGGCAACGTTCATGGACCCTGGAATATTCCCGCGAGGTTAGTGTAAAATATATATCCCTCACTGTCTCGGGGTGTACTTATATACCAACTGCCATATGTAGGTATCACTCTGCTGAACGTTGTGAATGTGAGAGAGCTGGTTTTGTATTAGTCGTGCGACATTCCTGGGTAATAATCCCTTCGAAACGTGTGTAACTGGCTGCCGCGAATCCCCCACAAAATACACTGTCACTACACTTTACTGTATATTCTGTGACGTGCTTTGAGACGTAATAACCAGGTTCCTCGCAATTTAACCTTAACTTGGCTTCTCTCCACACCTGTACTAATCAGTGGAAAGCTATCTCTAGCTGCCTGTGTGGAAGGTGGGGGCTGAACGTCACTCCATGGTGGTTGCCAGCACTTTGTTCAGCACTGAAAATTAATCAAATCGAGCGAAACGATGATTAAAACTGAAATGTGTTCCACGCACCATAAACGACAGAAGGCCAGGCTGCCGCACTTATCTCTAAATGAACTGTGGCGGTTTACAACGATGTGGGAAACCTCCAATTATTCATTCCTTCGTCTGTGAAGATACAAAACAAATTGTATTCCATTGCGATCAGTGAATGGGTAGAGAATACCGCTCGGGGGGTGAGTGTGCCTTTCAGCCCCTTAGGTTTCCACTGAACCTGGTCATTAATTAGCATCCGAGGAAATCTCACTAGCAGACGTTCCCATTACATAACCATTGGCTACTGCTCAATAATTAGGTCTAAATATAACTCACCAAAGGTGCTTCTGTGGGTATTTTTAGTCTTTATATAACAGGCGTTTGAGTAATATTACATTATTGATTAAAATTATCATGTATTATAGTAGCTACTGGTTTAAACATTTGTGTGTGTGTGTGTGAGAGATTGAAAGCAGTGAGGAATACTTAATGATAATAACAATAATCCTTGCATTTGATACAGTGCCTTGTCACATTGTTGAGATATCTCAAAGCGCTTCACAGAATGTACTGCAAAGTGAATTCACTGTATGTTTTGTGGGTAAAACTTCCTGGTAATTTATGGTGGAGGGGTGGTGGGACCTGACGATACCTCTTGTATTGGTTTAATCTTCTATATTACTCAATGTAACGTGTGTCCCCTTTTGAAGTCTCCAGTTGATGTTGTATAAGATTCTGCTTTGGGGAAGAGCTTTGGCTATGAACCTTTCTGTGTCTCCGGCCGGAGCCTTGTGAGTTCATGTCAGGCAGGGCTGGGACTCAGGCCCGTAGCTCACAATCTCACTGGTATCTGTTCAGTTCTGATCTCTTTCTAGTACCAGGTACCAGCCGGGAGTACTGACTGAGTGCCGCTGTGATCTATTGTACTTTTCCTCTCTAACTAATAATCAACCCCGTCGCCCACTTAGTCTTATTGATGCTAACCTGACAACTCCTATCTCTAAGCCACTCGTGTACATTATGGTAACCATTCACTACCTTTAGCTCCTGGTTGTGCACTTGCACTAAGCTCTTGTGGTGTTCTAAGGTAAATTCAGACATTTTCCGCTGGATGTAATGTAACAGCTAACCCGACAGGTAATGGATGCTGGTATAGTGGGAGGGCATTTCCCAGTAACCTCTAATAAATCTGAGGAGGAGAAATACCATAATATAAAGTTTGTTTGTTGGAAAACCAAGACAGTGAATTCAGGGATTATCACTAAGTAATTGAAACCCAGAGGAGGAAATGGAGATTGCTGCATGGATCCCGTTGGTTGAAGGTCTCCCGATTTCCTTTCAGCTGACGAGGACGAGGACAAGGATGATGACTTCCGAGCCCCACTCTACAAGAACGTGGAGATCAAAGGCATCCAAGTACGGATGAAGTGGTGCGCGACGTGTCATTTCTACAGGCCACCGCGGTGCTCCCATTGCAGTGTGTGCGACAACTGTGTGGAGGTGAGACATATGGGAGGGGAGGGTGGGGGCTGTACGTCATTCCGTGGTGGTTGGGGTCTCCCCTCACATCTCCCCGATCCTCTTGTTAGTGAGTCACCTCACTCTGCTTTCTAGGCGGCCCCCTTCCTTCTAGCTTGGTTGATTTAAGAACATAAGAATTATCTAGGTGAAAGAAGACCAAGGTTCATCTAGTTCATCTTCCACCATCCTGACATGCTGGGTCCTAAACTATATGCTGTATCCCAAGATATTATTTCCTAACAGAAATCTATCTCATTTGTTCTTGAAAGAATCAACACTTTCTGCTTCCACCGTCTGTCTGTCTAGGGAGCCTGTTCCATAAGTTTACTACACGCTCACTCACTGAAGTAGTGTTTCCGCAGATATGATCTGAATTTACCCCCGTCAATCGCAGGCCGTGTCCTCTGGTTCTACTGTTCAGTACAAGATAAAACAGCTTATCTTGGTCTGTATTTAAGCCATGGAGATTTGTGTTGGTGTGTGTCTGCCGGACAGCTAGACAAAAGGATCAGCTGTGAGAAGACACTGACTGAACTACAAAAGGACCACAGTTCTACTGAATCCTGTGTGTTTTGAGGCTGAGCTCTCTGTTTCTGACTCCATCTCTGTTTGAAGATGCCCCTGAATTTGTCAGCCCCCACCCCGCCACCCCTACCGTCTCCAATCAGAAGTCCCAGGAACAGTCACAAGAGCTGCCCTGTACAAGTTGAAGGGGAATTTGCAGGGTTGAGCCCGAATTATAAGTGAGATAAATATATAGTGCAATTTTGTTGAAGTGATATGAAGAGAAGCCAGTAGATGCGGATTGTAACAGTAAATGTGGAGGCATGTGGCGCCCCCTGTTGGTGGTCGGACGTGTTGCACAATGGAGCGATTTGCTTGAAGGCAATCCCCAACACGGTGGATTTGGGGGATGATGGGCAGTTGGAGAGAGAAAAACCATCAGGATTTCGGCAATTCCATTAGTTGTTCTCTGCACATGTGATGCTTGACTGTTTAGTGAAGAGGGGAATAAGCTTTCGCTCTGCCCGCACTCCCTGGAACCCCATCCCAGACATACTCCACCTCACACCTTCCCCTCATCCACTTCAAGGACTGTTTTGGGAGCTTCCTCTTTGACTTTGCCTTCGGTCATCTTTCTCCCCACCCCCAAACCCACCCGAATCGTACCCCCAGTTCAAATGCAAACCCTCAACTGTCCAGTGCTTCGGGACCCTTCTCCCGACGTAAACAGTTGCTGTGTAAATGTAATTTGTTGTTGTTTGCATAAAGCCTGTGTGTTTTACTTTGCGTGTCTTATGTTTTTCCCACAGGACTTTGATCACCACTGCCCGTGGGTGAACAACTGTATCGGGCGGAGAAACTACCGCTATTTCTTCCTCTTCCTCCTCTCCCTCAGCACACACATGGTCGGTGTGTTTACTTTCGGGCTGATCTATGTGTTAAACCACGTTGAACAGCTGGCTGATCCCCACACAGCCATCACGTATCCTTTACTGAGGACGCGAAGCAACTGCGTGAATGTTGAGATTTTTTAAATATTTGAGATATTTGACTTGCCTTCACTCACCCTCCCCGCCTCCACCCCCTCCTGATCCCAACCCCCAGCTCGGGTCAAATTCCTGACTGTCCAGTGCCTTGGGTGTTCTGATGGTGAAAGGCGCTGCGCAAATGTTATTTGTTGTGTTGTTGAGATAAGCTTAGACATCCGGACTGTTTATTATTCCTTAAACAGTCACGTTCTCATCGGTGTGTGTGGTGTGTGTTATAATAATAATCCTATGGCTTGTTGTAGCACTTTATCAATTCTCAAAGCGCTTCACAGGACATACTGTAAAATGTAGTGACTGTGTATTTTGTGGGCGAAACGCAGCAGCCAATCGCGCCCCTCAGTATCCCACAATCAGTCGTTGGTTCCTTGATGTTGAATTGACAGTATGGGGGTGATGTGCGTGGCGGGCCTTTTCTTTATCCCTGTGGTGGGGCTGACAGGATTCCACATCGTTCTGGTGTCTCGGGGACGCACAACAAATGAGCAGGTACATAAGCTGAACCCCGGGACACACTGAGTATCAATAAAACTCTCTTTACCCCAAAATAATAATAATAATAATCCTTGTATTTGATATAGAGCATTATCACGTTGTCGAGATGTCCAAAAGCCCTTCACAGCATACACTGTAAGGTGTAGTGACTGTCATTTCTGTAAGCCGCGTTACACCACTTGGAACTCTTCGCACCTGTTAATACAGTGTTTGATCCGTCACACAGGTAACGGGCAAATTCCGAGGTGGAGTAAACCCATTCACTCGAGGGTGCTGTGGCAATGTGGAATATGTACTGTGTAGCCCTTTAGCACCGAGGTAAGTGAGTGCTATTGATGCAATGTTCAAATCAAGTCACTTTTTGTCCCAAGCCTATAATGTAGAGTGTTTATGGTGTGTTTCACAATAGCACTCAGCTGTTAGGTAATTCATAATTAATTAATAATAGTTAATTTATGCCCCGAAACATTGCAACACTCTCCTCTATCCCTCTGCCTTTCCCCTTCCCCATCTTCAGGTAGCCCCTGAAGACCTTCCTCATTGAACCGTGATAGATTTCTGCTAAAAAATAATATCTTGGGATACAATATAAAGTTTGGGGATATAACATGTCAAGCGCCTGCCAGGATGGTGGAAGGTGAACTAGATGGACCCTGGTCTTCTTTTGTCTAGCCATTCTTATGTTCTTATAATATAAATATATAAATCATTGCTGTATCAATCTTGTGATACTATTGCTATCTTTCCCCTCAGATACATGGTCGACCCAAGAAAGAAAAAGCTCATAGCGGTGAAATCTCCTTTTGTCCGACCAGCGTTGTCCGAAAGACAGATTACAGTCAAGATAAATGACAATGGAATTCAGGGGAATCTGAACAGGACCAAGGCAAGAACACAATGTTAAAATCATTGATTAACATTTAAATATATCTTCCCCTTCTCTCTTTACCTCTGGTTAATTGGGTCCATTAGAAAGATTTAGTCTAATCTAATTTAATCTAATTTAATCCAGAACCTCTGCAGCCATAAAACTATACCCTCCCTCCAGTGAGTGAGTGTCCCTGCAGAAGAGACTGTTTTTCCCAAAGATATCTTATCTCCCGTGTGTACAAATTTCTGCCCTCTGAGACTGAAGATAATAATAATCCTTGCATTTGATGCAGAAGCTTATTACGTCGTTCAGAAGTCTCAAAGCACTTCACAGGATATACTGTAAAGTGGATTGACAAACAGTCTGGGTCCAGCGTAGGGTCACACAGTTTGATGTTGGTAATGGGTTGATATAAATGCAACAGTAAAGACCATAACGTCGAAATGTTCAACCCCAACCTTGCGCTCTTCCAAAAGTAACACACATGTTGTGTTTAATGGTTGTAAATCCCTCTTGATTTCCAGTCAAAAGGCAGTTTGGAAGCTCTGGACGTACAGTCGGCAGATGTTGAACCTCCGCTACCTCCCAAAGCCGATCCCAGCAAATATGCTGACCTGAAAACTCACTGGGAGTTTCGCTCAATGAAGGTAACACGCTCACTCGTCTAGAGGGAAAAGTGGCAGAATGATAAACCTGGATCAGAATTGTACTGTTCCTCAGCATTATCAGCCTCTTGACATTGTTTTGTGTGTCAATGTACATGAAAAGTGATCAATTGTTGTTCATATTTTAAGACGCATTGAAATTGGGCTCAGAAAGGTTGAGAAACAAATGGCATTGTGTCTTAATTGTGGGGTTAACATTCTCCTTCAGGCAGAGGACACTTAAGTATGTTTACAATAAGCAGCCACACTCCTGTACACCTCTGAGACGTAAATGCTTCACACCTGCTTTCCCTGAACTTTCAATGTGTTTAGTGTCTCTGTTCCTCCTCCTCTAAGCCACTCAACCCCTATCCTCTGGAACGCCATACCTCGCCCCCTCTCCCTCTTTATCGATGTTTAATTCCCACCTTAAGATCTACCTCTTCTCCCTTGCTCAGCTCCCCACCCGCCACTGTGCAGCGCTCTGAGACGCTATCCTGTGTGAAGGGCGCTGTGTAAATGTAAGCTGTTAATGTTTGATCCCCCGCTATGTCTATTCCCATCCTTGTCGTCACGCAACTCCTGCTTCACTTTCAGTTCTCACCCATGGCCGTCAACCATTGTACATGACTTCTCTATAATACAACAACAAATTACATTTGTATAGCGCCTTTCATGTCGGGAGGACGTCCCAAGGCTATCACTGCTAAATGCTGGCTTCCTGTACACCTTGTAGTAATGATGGTGTTTAGATTCCTTAGTACCAATTCCTCCTGTTTTCCAGTAGCGTCATTAGATTGTGTGAACGTTTGCGTGTGTGTGCATGTATGTCTGTCCGTGTGTGTATGTGCGTGCGTACATGCGTGTGTCCGTGTATGTGCGTGTGTGTCGGTGCATGTGTGGGTGTGCGTTTGTGCGTTCTTGTGTGGGGTCGTGTGTTTGTGTGGGTATATGAGTGTGTGGAGGTGGGTGTACATGTGGGTGGGTTTGCGTGTCAGTGCGCGCGAGTGCATGTCGGTGCGTATGGGTGTCGGTGCGTGTGTGTGTCGGTGCGTGTGTGTGTCTGTGTGTCGGTGCGTGTGGGTGTCGGTGCGTGTGGGTGTGGGTGTCGGTGGGTGTGTGGGTGCGGGTGTGCGTGTGGGTGCGCACGTGTGTGTCGGTGTGTGTGTCGGTGCGTTTGTGTGTGTGTTGGTGCGTGTGTCGGTGGGTGCGCACGTGTGTGTCGGTGTGTGTGTCGGTGCGTTTGTGTGTGTTGGTGCGTGTGTCGGTGTGCGCGTGGGTGTCGGTGCGCGTGGGTGTCGGTGTGCGTGGGTGCGTTTGTGTGTGTGTTGGTGCGTGTGGGTGTCGGTGCGTTTGTGTATGTGTGTTGGTGCGTGTGTCGGTGCGTGCATGGTGTGTGTGTACTGCTACCTGTACTACATTGTCGTTGTCTATTGCAGATAGTGGTCTCTCATCCAAGCCCATCAACCCATCCACTCCTGCCATGTTTAAGTACCGACCAGCATTCAGCAGCTCAGGGGCAAACCCCAAAGTCCTGTATCATGCTGCTAGCGAGAAGGTGAGGAAACTCAGCATCCGCCATGATACAATCACCTCAATACCATTCTCTACACTATTGTCTTTGGGTGTTTATTATATTTGATATAATGCTTTATGCTTGACTAGAACATGGAAAGGTGTTTTCGATAAACTGTACATAGTTTGAAACACGACTTGTGCAAGTGACTGCCAGGATGGTGGAAGGCAAATTGGATGGTCCTTGATCCTCTTTTGATTGGCAATTCTTATGTTCTTAATGACAGATTCCAACCAACCAACCAACCAACCATCCTCATCCTCTGGATTCCTCCACCTTAGGCATTAATCACTGCTTGTTTTTATGAAGATCAACAAAGAGAGTTAGCCTTAAAAAAAAGTGTCTATGTTACATGCTGGGCTTCATTGTGTGGTCAGTGGATACCATGACAGTGTGTTTGATTGCCAGGATTTGATTCTTACCTGACTGCCTTGACCCTGCTTTGTTTGGTGTTGATTAACATGGAGCTATAACACGCAGAGCCACACAGAGAGCAAGCTGTCTCTCTACCCCATAAACCTTGCAGTGACCAGTTCATGGATATTAACACACAGACCCAGAGAGATGTTCATGACTATTCCTGGTCTCCAACAGAGACTGTCTGTCTGTGGCCGCTGGTAAACTTGTATAATCACCTCGGCTGCCTCACAGTTCCATTTGTTCTTAATGTGGTTACAAATTATTGCGTCAATGATGCAAAAAAAGACTTGTCAATCTTATATCTATCAGCAACGCCATGAAATGTGTAATTAATTTTTTTTTAAATTGTTGGTGAAAACCTGGGACTTTTTAGATTGAGTTTATATCCTCAGTGACTGCCCGATCTCTCTCCCTCTCTCTCCTGTCTACAGATTTCTCTGCAGGAGGGACGTAATAAAGAGGTGTCCATGGGGCAGGAATGCGGCCGAGGCCATGACTACAGATCCGAGCCCAACCTGGACTTCCCCGATTACAGATCCCCTTCGCTTCACAAGAGCTACCAGTCCTCGCCTCTGCAGCTGGACTCCCTGTCTGTCAGCTCCCGCTCCCTCAGCCTGAAGTCCGCTCCTGAGAGGAGAGGCAACGACAAGGCTCTACACCACCTGCGATCGGAGGCCTCCTCCACCTCCTCCTCCTCCAACCCCTACAGACATGTGTTTGTTCAGAACTCCCTGTCCAACAGGAACGGGAGCCTGTCTTACGACAGCCTGCTTAACCCCCCTGGGAGCCAGGGGGAAGGAGATTGCGTGACGCACTCGGGGATGGTCGCTGTAGGTTACCATTCCCCCTACCTCTCGGCCAAGATGTGTCAGATCCGAGGGGCTGACCTGCTGCCGCGGCAGGGGGGACGGGGCTACAGCCCGGTGCACAGGGGTGGGATCTCCCCCCACCCCCGAGAACCTTCCCCTGTCCGTTACGACAACCTGTCCCAGCAGATCATGGCCTCCATTCAGGAGAGGAAGCTGCTGGAGGAACGAGGGAAACTGCTACACACATCACCACCCCCCGACCTGGCCTTCAGGGACGGGGGGGGCTACGACACTGTGGGGGGCTACAGCCCGCGCTGCGCGGACACCTACCCCGGGGACTCAGCCCGGCTCACCGTGATCGTGGGCAGCAGGTACGGCTCCAGAGACAACATGGCTGTGAGGAGCCCCCTGCTTCGCTCCTCGCTCTCCTCCTCGCTGGCCAGGGCGAGCAGGACTTCCAGCGGCTCCCTGCAACACGCCGACCTCGCCAACAACAACGTGCAGGCCCGGCTCAGCGACCCCGCCCGCAGGTCCCCCGCCCACCAGCTCCCGCCCTCCACACTGCTCAGGTCTCCCTCCTACACCAGCCACAAGCCACTGTCCTTTGTCACAGCGATGGAGATGTCAGAGGGTTCGCCTCCGCCTCTGACAGCACCTCGGTACGTACCTCACCTCCCTCCGGGCACCTGTCCTACAGTCGCACTCACATCAGGCGTGTCAGTCGCACTCACATCAGGCGTGCCAGTCGCACTCACATCAGGCGTGTCAGTCGCACTCACATCAGGCGTGTCAGTCAGGAGTAGGATGTTTAATTCCACTTGCGCAAAGTCCAAGTTGCAGACGAAACTTGTATAAATCGTATAAAATCTGATTAGATCAATAATCTGCACTGAGCACGTGTGGAGTTTAATGCAGCCGATGCGTGCGCTTGCGGTGACGGGTCAGGACATCGTTTCCCACGATTGACTGGGTCCTGACCCGTCGCTGCATGTGCACTTACCGGAATCACGGGAATTGAAGTTCTTCTGCGCATGTGTTGACGGGTCAAGACAATGTTTCCCGTGATTCAAAGCAGCCGGTTAGTGAGTGCGGAAGAAATAGAGAGTAGGGGAGTAGCGCTGTGCGTTAGGAGGTGAGAGATAGAACTGGTGCAAAGAAATGTAAGTGGTTCTGATAGGAAACTGAACGGGTCTCGGTTGAATGTACGACTTGTATGCGATTATATGATTTATAAAGATAATACAATGCGGGCCTGGATTCTAATCAAAGTTTTAACGGAGATGGCTCCCTTTTACACCCAGTCTGTGTTGAGACTGTACCAACCCCACAACTTGCTTCTTTCTGTTCTCAGAGACGAAGTGCAGATGAAGATGGCTCACAACAAGATTAACGGGCAGCCCAAAGGCTTCCCCGGGGCGGATAGCCGGCTGGCCTCGCCCGCCAGCCCCCAGGCCTCCGCCAGTCCCACCAGGAACTCCAACGTGAAGAAAGTCTCGGGAATCGGTGGGACCACATATGAGATCTCAGTGTGAAGAGCCATTTATCATTCATTGTCAGCTGTGGAGCTGTGTGCAGCACTGTGACCTCAATCTCAACACCTCCCTCTCTCTCCCTCTCACTCGTACACTCTCTCTGTCCCTCTGAGTCTCTCTCGCACTGTGTGTGTGTGTCTCACTCTCACACACTCGCTCTCACACACTCTATCTGTCTCTCTCTCACTCCTGTTTTTTGCCCAATCAGCTGCAGACTTATTTGTCCAGATATTTGTTGTGCAACAAAATCAAAGTGGTTTCAAATAATCCAGTCAGGGCAGGCCCAGTGCAATCATTTGCTTTGTGGTGTGTTATTTTATTTTGTTTTTTATTATTTCTTCAGTTTTCTCTTCAGTTTTTGCTCACACCACAAAACTGACTGTTTCAACCTGGAAAAAGCAACCTGTTTATTATTATTATTATTATTGAGGAGGCAGAGGATTGGGTAGTGTCCCCATCACACCCGCCGGTAGCTATCTGTGCGAATGATGGTGCTGTGACGGTTTTAATGATAGCCTGGCACGTTTGTAAGGATTTTCCTGGCTGGCAGTGAGGAGCTGTGGTCTGGTCTGGTGCTGACACCTACACCGAAATCCATCTATTCCCTTCCTTCACTGGAATAAGCTCCTTACATCAACCAAAAGATGTTTTAAAACTCTCTCTTGCTCTCTCTCTGTCCCTCTCTCTCCCTTTCTCGTGAAGGGCACATTATGCCATTAGACAACCTGTCAGATACCTTTGTACGTGAGCATATGTGTGTGTCAATTAGGGCTCGTATGGGATGATTTAAAGGGGATTGCATTATTTCAGGGGCTAACAGCCCTCAAAGCTTTAAGGATGTTCATCCAAATACTGATCAAGAATTGTATTTTTTCTTATAAAGAAAAAGCGATAGATATTCCTATCTGCCCTTGCAAGCTGGAATCAATGTTACATTAGTTGCCAGGGTCTTGGAGAATGGAGTTAAAGTCTGTGCTGAGGTGGTGCTGACCAGAGTATTACGAACCTTTCTGACCTGAACAAGCATGTGCAGTTTTAAGCCATCTCTGGGGTGGGCTGGCCATTGCCCGGTGCTACCTTATGTTATGCCAAAGACTGGTGACCAAGGCTGATCTCTCCCTGGGATTCTCCACCCGATCCCGCCAGGCAGGTGCTGGTGTTCAACCTGACAACTGAGACACAAGACAACCTACACACATAAACACACACCCCCCACACACACACAGGCCACACACCAGACACACACACTACACAGACACAGCCATACACCTGCCACATGCCAGCCATGCACAGGCACACACACCACAGACTCCCACCTACTCCTTTCCTGTTGCTTGTTACAGGTTACTGAGCAGCACTGGCCAAAACGTTGGTAGCCGGTTACCCTCCGAATATATAGGTCAGGTGCAGAGTTTAGGGTTATTGCGAGTGTTTATCTCCCGAGTGTGTACTCTATTGTATTACCACCACCACGATCAGTGATAATAACATGCATGTGTGCGCGTTAATCCGACCTTTTAAGCACACGAGGAAGTGTTTTGACACGGGGTGCGGTTGACTGGGGTGAGAGGCTTGTTGACGGCAGGAAGAATTGCGAGCCTGGTTGGGATGATTAGCATAGTTTGGGGTTTTAACAATTTTTTTTATTTAAAAAAAAGAAATTAATGGCTACAGTGGCTGTGATACAGAGCGACGTTTCGAACCCGCCCGCAAGTTAAATTTTACCTTTTTTTTTAGTAAAGTGCAGCTATCTTTTAGTCTGACTTGTAGTTACTGTTTTTCATGGCGAACTTACTGTCGGAATGTCTCCATAGCTAGTCATAGACATAGAACGTTTCTGTTCGGCAAACAACACTAATAATGCTCACCTCATTTGTCACACCGCCAGGACGTGTCCAGAATTCAATCAATGAACTGATTTTCCCAATATCATTAATAAATCGACAAGGGTATAAATAAAGTTACCGCTTAACTGTTTTGTTCTCCCAGAAAACACTGTCAGTCACTCCGGCTACCAATGAATCCTTTCAAAAGGCACTGTACTAAATGGAAGGATTAAGTGATGGAATTGATGGAATGGAACCCAGAAAAAGGTTGTTGTCCCTGTTCACATATCAAGCAAGATTTGCCATTGACACTGCTGCAAACTCCCCTTCACCCCCCCCCCCCCCCAACCCCCATCCTTTATTCCTGAGATGTGTTCTAAAGAATGAGTTGTGTATGTATAAAAGCTGGCTGTACAGTCAGTCATTGTGTATCTCTGTGTATTGCTGTGTGCAATTGCCTGCTGTGTTTCGCCTACAAAATATACAGTCAATTCACTTTACAGTATATCTTGTGAAGCGCTTTGAGAAGTCTCGAAGACCTGATAAGGAGTTATATCAAATGCAAGGATTATTATTATCAAGTGTTGGCTTTATCATGTTAAAGAGCTGCAGTTGGCCAGACAATAACATCTGTATCATCTCAAACCTTTTAAGGAACCCTTTTTTGAGCAGATTGATCGACGTTGGCTGAGTGTCGATGTTCTGTTGGGTTCGTTTCTCTCCTCTTGTCAATCGTTGTGGTTCAGTTACACGTAATGGCATTAAGCCGTCCACCTCTGCTTCCTCTTGTCACAGTCTGCACAGTACGGTATATCTCAGCCAGTTTATCTAGCGGCTGACTATCTGAGCTGGGTTTAATCCCTGGTCTCCAGTGAGCTGTTGATCTCAAGTAGCCGGGGCTATAGATCGGGTTAGTAGTAGGTCAGGGAGTGGGTGGGGGGACACAGCTCGGTTTACACTCTTGATCTCTATGCAGTAACCCACTCCACACCCCCCCCCCCCCCCACCCCCCCCAATGCTGGAGTGTTCATGTTTCAGGTTATGACAGGTTGTAGGTCGGTTGTGAGAGACTAGAATGAGAGACAGGAGATACAGGGCATGTGGAGCCTCCCACAGTGAACGACAGCAGAAGCCCCCGACCCTCTGAGCGAGGGGAGAGATTAGCAGGAAAACAACAGGTTCTGTAAGTTCTACTGTAAGGCAATAACTGCAATCTTCTCCTCTGGTGTTGTTTGAAGGACGTGCATCTTGTCATCTCGAACTCCCTGAGAGTTGGGCGTGTCCAGTGACGAGCACCTTGTCCAAACCGGGCCGGGAATCGACGGTTGATCCGTATTGAGGGTGTTTTAAAGTTTAAATTGTGGAGTCCTGTAGCTTAATGGTTAATAACAAAATTGCAGATTGAATTCATACAAAATTCCTAAATAAACCCACTTTCACATGATGTTCTCAGCAGTTCCTTTCTCCTCCCCACATTTTCCAATAGTTTTATTTGGTGTTTAATTCAATCTTTTTAAAAGAAGAATGTTTTGTTTATTGACCAATATTTACTATCTATACTATCCAGGGAGCCGCATTGATACCAAAGATCACAGATTCCCGTAGGATTGAGAGTCTTTACAAGGCGCTGACTTGCTGAGTGCTTCCCACCTGCTAAGTTAATGCATCCAGTTTCCAACAAGATTTCTTTGGTCAGTGGTCAGCTCAGGTGAGGTGAGGCTGCCAATTTCAAGGTAGGAAACTTACGATTTAACGTAATGGGAAAGAAGAGAAAAGTGCAGTTTCTGGAGCGAAATCAGATCATGATTAACCTCTGGAAATTACATTAGTTGAAGGAGAGGTTAGTAGTTTGTGCTTTGCCTTTCACCAGGAGAGAGGTGGTGTCTGTCTGGTGAAGTCTGTCTGGCGAACGGCAGTGATACTGAGTTGTTGTTTTTATACAGGGGACAAGACTGTCTATTATAAAATTATACAACATGCCAGTTAAAGATCTTGTGAAGTCCTGTAGTGTTGTGGTTAGCGCGCTTGCTTTGCAAGCAAGAGGACCCAGGTTTGATTCCCGGGCTGGGCGAAACCTTAGCCAAGTTTCCTTACTCCACCCCCCTCTGTTTATCGAGCAGTAAGTAGGAACATGACTGTTAATCGATTGGCGGATCGTCCACAAAATACACAGTCACTCCACTTTGCAGTGTATCCTCTTTGAGACGTCTCAACAATGTGTTATGGCAATATATCAAATGCAAAGATTGTTATTATTGTCATTATAATACTATAAAGGCAAAGCCAAGCACTCACGTGGACACTGGGGGGACTGGCCTGCTCTTTCCTTGAGAATTGTTACTGTAATCGTGTAACTTGGCTTGTAATCATGTTGTTTAGCTAGGAAATTAAGGTGTGTCAGGCTGTGAGAGCAGCAGGTAAGCAGAGGAAGCGTTACCTCTTCAGAATGAATGAAGAGTTCACTCGAGTGATTTCTCCACACGGTAAAAATCCCAGGTGGATTTTAGTCATTTTCACACCAGATGCATCATGGCTTATTTTGCCCAGAATGAAGCTGACTCTAAAGATACAATCATGTGTTATGCTTGGCTGTGGCTAGTCCAGTTGTCACTGGGAAGGAAGCCTGGCCCATGATATGGGAGCACGTCACACTACGCATTACTTTGACTTGGTAACAAAAAAAATAATAATTTGATCATTCAATCCACAACCGTTTGGAGGATATTGCTATGCGCAATTGGCTGCTGTGTTTCGCACACAAAGTCCACAGTCGATCCACTTTTCAGTATATTCTGCAAAGCGCTTTGAGGCGTCTCAACGACGTGATAAGTTGTACATCTCGATGGGAGGAGTGTTTGTCTGTCAGTTGCACCTTCCTGCAGAAGCTGTGGGCTCCCGTCCCAGCAGAGCGCTCCACACCACAATCAACTAAAAATTCCCACTTTCTGTTTTGCAAATGAGACTACAGCACGAAGGAGTGTGATGTAGGTTTTAAAAGGTGTGGAGTCTGAATGAATAGCTCACACAGGGCTTTTAGTGCACACCTCTCTCTCTCTCTCTAAACTTTGACAATTGGACATTCATTGCAATGGCCTGTAGCCAGTTGTATGTATATAGAATATACCTTTAATGAGGATTTTAGGTGAGCAGCTTAACCAGCTTTGTTTATGGGGTGGGGATAAACGCTACCATTTGAGAGGTGGGATGGCTTGAAGAAAAATAAAATGTGATTGCCTTGTGTGTGTTTGTTTAACCAGTGAATACCAATCCCAAATCTGG